TCATCCCCTGGGGATTTGGGACTCCAGCAGCACCCCTGGGTGCTGATCCAGCTGCCATAAATGAGTGGGAAGGGGCTTTTCAGGGATCAGGTGGATGATCCCTGGATCCTTCTCTCCTCCCTCCACCCCGTGCTCCCCATGGAAGGGGTTAAGGCCAGGCTGGGCCCTGGGCCAGGCTGGTGTCACCCTGACACTGTGGGTTGTCACAGAGGCTCGGGCTGGGCTGTGCTGCCGGAGAGACACCGGTACCCGCGGGTGGGGGGCACAGGGTGACAGCTTGGGGTGTCCCACAGCGGGTCCACAGCTCCAGGAGCACCGGGAAAAGGGAGTGTCCCCATCCTGGTGTCAGCTCAGGAACTGGGCTGAGATCTGGCAATTCACCTCACCCCCGGGGCTGCTGCTTCACTGGAGGGGTTTGAACGCCCCAGGAGCAGCCCCCCAGGGTGGGTGGGACCCCCAAGAGTGGGGCTGACCCCACAAACCCCCCTCCCCTGCGCAGGTCCGGCTCCAGAGATCCCTCCTGCGTGGTCAAGGTGGGCAACAAGGTGGTGGCCGGGTAGGGGGACACTGTCCCACCCTGGGAGGGGACACGTGGGGACAGGGAGGTGCAGCCACCTCTCCCCTCCCTGGGGACAGGACAGGTGTGGAAGAACCTTGAGCCCTTTTTGGGGGGAGGAATTCACCCTGAGCTTGAGGAGAGGAGAGGCTGGGAAAGGGGTGACACAGGGCTTGTCCTCCCCTCTCCACACCAGGAAGGGCCCTCGCTGTGTCCAGCCTGGGGACAGCAGTGATGCCAACCTGTGTGTGACGATGCTCTGAGAGCTCAGTGGGGAATATGGTGCCAGCCCTGCTTGGGGACAGGGGGACAAGGGGCAGAGCTGGTGGCACAGAGGGCCACAGGGTACCTGGGGTCAGTCCCCCTCAGACTGCTTGGCTCCCACGCTGGGTTTGGCTTCAAAATTGGGGGAATTCTCCCTTTGGCTTGAAAACTGGGGGGAAACTGAGGCCTGACCCGGGCTGCCCCTCTGCTTTTGGGGGTGTACATGTGTGTGCACGTGTGTGCACATGTGTGAGTGTACACACACACACACACACACAGAGTCACACACACACAGCTGACAGATGGAGCAGGCAGCAGAGCCAGCATCCCGCTGCCATGGCAACTGAAGCGGCTACCAAGGCAACGGGATGGCCACGGGGACAGCATGGCCGTGGGGACACATTGGGGGGGACAGCAGAGCCCCCCCAGCTGGGCCATTTGGCCCCCAGGGACTGGAGGGGGAAAGGGTTCCCCTGCAAACAGGGACAACACTCTCCCAGCATCCCATGGCACCCCCCGGATGCCCCCGGATATACCTGGGCAAGCTGGGAAAAAGGGGGGGCATGGGAGTGCAGGGACATTCCGGCAGGGATGTGCCCCCTGCCCACTGCTCCCCTCTGACCCCCCTCTCCCCACAGGGGTCTGGCCCCGCGGGACCCCTCAGGCCCCTCGGACCCCTTGGCCCGGGGGTTGTGCTGCGGGCACATGCTGGGCACAGCCCTGAGTCAGGGGGTGGGTGCTGGCACCCCGAGGCTCGGGCACCTCTGCCCCCCACGGCCACCAGTCCCCGTGCCCAGCGGGTGGTTGAGGAAACCCTTTCCCGTGCTGGGATGAGGGGCTGGAGTTGGAGCTGCCAGAAGGAGAAGCTGTGCTGAGTGTGGAGTGGTGGGGCTGGGACGTCGTGGGCAAGAACAACTTCCTGGGATGGGTGCCCAGGACCGGGCAGGGTCCTGGGGGCACCTCTGCACCCCCATCCCCTGGGCGTGGAGTGAGCACAGCTCAGGATCCACAGGGTTGGGGCAGTGCCACACCCACACCCTGCATGTCCTGGGCTCTCCCCGCACCGAGGCCCAGCACGGGGGGCTGGCACTTGTCCCCTCCCCCAGCCCCTGCCTCTGGCCCCCCAGGGTGAGTTCCCCTGGGGCACCATCAGCACGGACCCCACAGGGGCTGGTTCCAGCTCCTGCCCTTGCCCAACACCAGCCAGGACCACGGGTGAGCCATGGGACAGGCAGAGGGGACAGGCAGAGGGGACAGGCAGCAGGGACAGGCAGCTGCGCCCAGGGCAGCACAGGGGGCACCCCATGGAGGGTGGTGGGCACAGGACCCACACGAGCCCCCCCGTGCCATCGCAGGGGGCATCTGGGTGCCCTGGGGCTGGTGTTGGACACGGTCCTGCCCCCCACACACAACCAGTCCCTCATCCAGCTCCTCACCCAGCCCATCCTGTGCCTGGACCAGGGGGGTGCTGAGGGATGGGGGGACCCCCGGGGGTGGCTGGGGACCATCCCAGCGCAGGGGCCTCGCCGTGCCCACTCTGCCCTCCCCACAGCCCCCTGATGACACAGTCCTGGTCATCCTGGAGAAGGTGACCTTGAGGGAGAGCCGGCAGGATGTGGTCACCAAGCTGGTGAACACCTTCCTGGGGCAGGAGCTGACTGTGCCCCTCCTGGACTGTGTCACCACCCATGAGCTGACCAGGACCAGAAAGTGCCAGGGCTGGGGTACCACCTGCACCCCGAGAAACCCCAAGCCAGGGCCTCCCCAGACCTACATGGGGAAAGGGTGGGGCCACCAAGGCGGAGCAGGAAAAGTGCCACATGTCCTTGGGGGTGGGCACACCGGGGACAGCTGGGGCATCACCCTGTGCCCGCCTTGCCACAGCCTCTGTGCTGTTCCAGCTGATCCCAACAGCCTGTTCTGCTCCAACTCAGCAGCCTCCAAGTCCATGGAGCAGTTCATGAGGGTGAGCGTGGGAGGGGACACTGGCTGGGTCCCCACTGTGCCATCGGGGCACAAAGCCAGCAGGATGTTTGGGGACACATTTGGTGTCCCCGTGCTTTGCAGGCTGTGGGGCTGCCCTGCCTGCACGAGGTCCTGAAGCCCGTGGTGAGCCACGTCCTTGAGGAGAAGAAGGACGTGGAGCTGGAGCCCGGCAGGATGGGGCTGAGCCGGGGCAGGTGGGCACAGGGGGGACACGGGTGGCACTGGAATGGGCTGCCCAGGAGGGGGTGGAGTCACCACCCCTGGGGGTGTTTGGGGACACACTGGATGTGGCATCAGTGCCATGGTCTGGGTGACACGGTGGGGTTGGGTCACAGGGTGGACTCGATGATCTCAGAGGGCTTTTCCAGCCCGGTTGATCCCGGGATTCTGTGTGACTTGGGGGGCAGATGTGGCAGCCGGCACCCTTGTCATCCCTGTGTCCCCTGCAGGGGGGTCACCCATTGCTGCTGAGCCCGTGGGTCACCCCCACGGCTTTTGGCTGGTCCCAGGGACATGGGGACACAGGGATGCAGGGACATGGGGACACAGGGATACAGGGACATGGGGACACAGACACGGGGACACACGGACACGGGGACACATGGATATGGGCACACAGGGACGTGGGAACACAGGGACACACAGATACAGAGACACACAGACATGGGGACACACGGACATGGGGACACACGGACATGGGGACACATGGACTCGGGGACATACAGACACGGGGACATATGGACATGGGGACACAGGGATACAGGGACAGGGGGACACAGTCACAGGAACACTCGGACATGGGGACACAGGGACACGGGGACACAGGACATGGGGACGTAGACAGAGACACACGGACATAGGGACACGGACACACAGACACAGGGACATCAGTCACAGGGACATATGGAAGCGGGAACACACGGACACAGGGACACGGAGGACACGGGGACACAGGGACATGGCGCCGCACAGACATGGGGACACAGACACGGGGACACATGGACATGGGGACACATGGACATGGGGACACAGGGACATAGGGACACACAGACACGTGAGCAGGGGGACACAGACACAGGGACAAGGGGACACAGAGACACATGAACAGGGGGACACACAGACACAGGGACATGGGGACACACAGACACATGAACAGGGGGACACAAAGACACGGGGACAGGGGGACACACAGACACGGGGACACACAGAGACAGGGACAAGGGGACGCACAGACACATGAACACAGGGACACAGAGACATGTAAACAGGGGGACACACAGACCCAGGGGGACACCCCCACAGTCCCACAGCGCCTGTCTGTGTCCGTGGGGTGGGAGGTGTGGGGTGGGGGCACAGGGGGCACAGGGTGGGATGGGGGGGTGGTCCGTGGGGGCACGTCAGGGGGAGGGGACAAATGTGGGGGCTGAGGTGCCACGGGTGGGTGCTGAGGGGGCTGACTGGGGGGTGGGTGCCGGGGGGATACCACAGGTGGGTGCTGGGGGGCTGACTGGGGGGTGGGTGCCAGGGGGACACCACGGGTGGGTGCTGGGGGGCTGATTGGGGGGTGGGTGCCGGGGGGATACCACGGTGGTGCCAGGGAGTGTCAGGGATGGGTGCTGAGGGAAGAGGGTGTGCCACGTGGGGGGGGTGACAGCAATGGGTGCCACAGTGGGTGGGGGGTGGGTACAACAGGTGGGTGCTGGGGATGGATGGGGGCAGTTGGGGCGGGGTGGGCCACGGGTGGGTGCTGGGGGGGTACAACAAGTGAGTGCTGGGGATGGATAGGGGGAGTTGGGGTGGGGTGGGCCACGGGTGGGTATGAGGGGCACTGGTTGGGCGGTGGGTGGTGGGGTTGGGTGCCACGGGTGGGTGTTTGGGGGGTACAACAAGTGGGTGCTGGGGGGGTACAGCGGGTCAGCGCCACTGTGGGTGCTGGGGGGGTGCCACAGGTGGGCACTGAGCACTGACCCCAAGCCCTGGCTGCAGGGGCAGCACCCGTCGGGCAGTGGCTGCAGGAGGTGCTGCGGGACCTGGACATCGCCCACGCCGCCTTCGCCCGCCGGGATGAGGGCCCAGAGCCACCCCGAGCCCCTCCCTGTGCCCCGAGCCCCCCCTGTGCCCAGAGCCCCCCCACCCCCTCGGGGAGCCCCTCCTGTCACCGCGGGCGGCGCAGGGACCCGAGCGGGGACACGGAGGGGACGCGGGGCCGCCAGCCCGGCGCGGGGTGTATTGTGTCACACAGAGATGTACATGGCACCGGCGGGACGCGGCTCCCTGGGGCAGCGGCGGGCGGCGCGGGCGGCGCGGGTGGCACAGACGGCTGACGCGCAAAGAGGCCACGGGTCGGAAAGCACCAGCCCACGATGCATCGCCACGAGAGCGGGACGGGGGGACGGACGGATGGACGGACGGACGGACACACACGGGGACGCGTGGTGGGTGACACCGGGTGGCGCGGGGCGGGGCTGCGGCGAAGCGGCGCAGGCGGCGGTGGCACGGGCGGGGGGCGAGGGGGCCGCCCCCTCGCCCACCTCAGTCCTTGAGGGTGGCCTCGGACACGCCCTGGGCCAGCAGCTCGGCCAGCACGTTGTCCAGGTAGTTGGGATCGGGGTACCCGTGGCCCGTCAGGTTGGAGCCGAACTCGGTCTTGTGGTGGATCTCGTTCCACACCACCGTGTCCGACTCGCCCGTCGTGTTGGACGTGCCGATGGTGAAGATGAGCCGCCGGTCCCAGGCCACGATCAGCAGTTTCAGCACCTGCCGGGGGTCAGGGCTCACCCACCCGGCACGGCCCAGCCTGGCACGGCCAGGGGTGACACCCCCAGCACCCCTGGACCAGCCTGGGTGGGCAGGGGTGACACCCCCAGCACCCCTGGACCAGCCTGGCACAACCATGGACTGTTCATCCAACACACCCATTCCAGCCCCCATGGATTGCCCACCCAGCACCCCCAGCCTGGCACAATCATGGATTGCCCATCCAGTATCCCCATCCCAGCCTGGCACAATCATGGATTGCCCAACCTGGCCCAGCCACGGATTGCCCACCCATTATTCCCAGCCCATCCTGGCCCAGCCACGGATTGCCCACCCGGCACAGCCATTGCTCACCCACCCAGCACCCCCTGCCCTCCTCCCTCCACAGCACGGCCCCAGCACCCAGGGCTGTGGTTCAGCCCCAGCACGGTGCCCACAGGGTGCCAGCCTTCCCTGTGGCACAGCCCAGCCCCACCCCAGTGCTGCTGCCTCCTCCCTATCCCACCCCATCCCATCCCTTCTCTTCTGCATCCCATTCCTTACCATCCCAACCATTCTCCCTCCATCCCATCCCTCACCATCCCTTCCCATTCTATGCCATCCCACCCCATTCCTTCCATTCCTTCTCCCATCCCATTCCCTTCCCATTCCCCCTCATTCCCAGCCATCCCATCCATTCCCATCCCATCCCACATCATCCCTTCTCTTCCACATCCCATTCCTTCCCATCCATTCTCTCTCCATCCCATCCCACCCCATCCCTTCCCATTCCATGCCATGCTATGCCATCCCACCCCATTCCTCCTATTCCTTCTCTCATCCCATCCCTTCCTATTCTATCTCCATCCCTTCCCTTCCCCTCCCCTTCCTCTTTCCCCTTCCCTTTTCCCCTTCCCTAACCATCCCTTCCCATCCATTCTTATCCCTTCTTTTCCCATCAAATCCCCACCCTATCCCATATCACCCCATCCCATTCCATTCCTTCTTCCTTTCCTTTCCTTTCCTTTCCTTTCCTTTCCTTTCCTTTCCTTTCCTTTCCTTTCCTTTCCGTTCCTTTCCTTTCCTTTCCTTTCCTTTCCTTTCCGAACCTTTCCTTTCCTTTCCTTTCCTTTCCTTTCCTTTCCTTTCCTTTCCTTTCCTTTCCGAACCTTTCCTTTCCGAACCTTTCCTTTCCTTTCCTTTCCGAACCTTTCCTTTCCTTTCCTTTCCTTTCCTTTCCGAACCTTTCCTTTCCTTTCCTTTCCTTTCCTTTCCCCAAAAAATCCCAAAAACCAACATTCCCCTTTCCTTTCCCTTTCCGTTCCCAACCGTCCCTTCCCTTCCCAAACCTTCCCTTCCCTTCCCAAACCTTCCCCTCCGTTCCCAAACCTTCCCAAACCTTCCCAAACCTTCCCTTCCCTTTCTATCTCAACCCATCCTTTCTCATCCCATCCCATCCCACCCCATCCCCCCCATCCCGGTGTGCCACATCCTCACCTTCCTGCCCTTCTCGTTATCGGGCAGGTAGCAGTGCCGGGGGAATCCTCGCGCCGTGAACTTCTTGCCGGGATTGGGATGCTCCGGGCCCTGGAGGGGGGATTGGGGGGACATTGGGGTGAGGGGGGGGCACAGGGAGGGGGTGCCTGGCCCCGCGGGGGTCCCTCCTCACCTGGATGCCGGTGGGGATGTCGTAGACGATCCGGATGGTTTTGGAGTCGGTGTATCCCGGGAGGGAGTGTGGGATGAGGTGGAATTCCATCTTCCCGGGGGGCTGCGTTCCCGTCTTCTCCCCGTAAATGGCCTTGCAGGTGGGGCACTGCAGGCTCCCGTCCTGCGGGCATTGGGGGGCATCAGGGGGGGCACAGACCCCCAACCCACCCACACCCACCCGGCACCCCCCAGCACCCACCCGGCACCCCCCAAAACCCACCCATACCCACCAAAACCCACCCAGCACCCCCCAGCACCCACCCACACTCACCCACACCCACCCGGCACCCCCAAAACCCCCTGCACCCAACCAGCACCCACCCCACACCTCCCAGTACCCACCCCAGAGTCCCCCCCCACTCCCCGCCCATCCCCACACCCACTCGACACCACTCCACACCCTCTCATTCACCCCCACACCCACCCAGAACCCCCCACCCTCCAGCACCCCTCAACACCCCCTCAGCACCCACCCAGCACCCCGCAATGCCCCTCAACCCCCTACACCCAACCAGCACCCCAACACCTCCCAGTACCCCCCAACACCCCCACACCCACCCAGCACCCCTCAGTACCCACCCAGCACCCCCAACACCCCCCAGTACCCCCCAACACCCCCACACCCAACCAGCACCCCTCAGTACCCACCCAGCACCCCTCAGTACCCACCCAGCACCCCCAGCACCCCCAACACCTCCCAGCACCCACCAACACCACTCCCCAGCCCTCCTCATCCTCACACCTCCCCCATCACCCCCCAACACCCACCACCCCCAACCACCCCCAGCACCCACCCGGCACCCACCCAACACCCCCCAACCCCCACACACCCGACCAGCGCCCCCCAACACCCCGACACCCCCCTCACCCACCCCCACTCCCAGCCAGCCCCCAACACTCACCCAGCACCCATCCAGCACACACCCAACACCCCCCAGCCCCATCACACCCCACCAGCACCCACCCCAACCTCCCAGCACCCCCACAGCACCCACCCAACAGTCCCCCACACCCATCCCCATCCCCACACAGAACCCACACCCACCCAGCACCCCCCAACACCCTCCAGCACCCCCCACACCATCCAGCATCCCCAACATCTCCCAACATCCCCCAACACCCTCCAGCACCCCCCACACCATCCAGCATCCCCAACATCTCCCAACATCCCCCAACACCCCCACAGCACACACCACCCCCCAACACCTCCCTGCACCCATCCCACACCCCCCAACACTCACCCAGCACCCCCCAGCACCCCTCACACCCACTCAGCACCCCCCACAACCCCCCAACACCTCCCAGCACCCCCCAACACCTCCCAGCAACCCCCACACCCACCCAGCACCCCCCTAACACCCCCCAGCTCCCCCCAACACCCCCCACCCCTCAGCCCAGCCCCCCCATGGCGGGGGGCGCGGACCTTGTTGCCGTTGTTGTACATGGCGAGCAGGCACAGCAGGTGGTACATGTGCCCGCACTTGCCCAGCTTGCCCACCAGCTCCGGCTTGATGCCCCTGGGGCTCAGGACTCCCTCGTAGCCGGAGGAGGTGACCAGCCGCTCCATGCAGATGGTGCAATCCTGCCGGGATCGGGAGAGCCGGGATAAGGTCCCGCTGGGATGAGCGGGTCCCCCCCGGCGCTGTGCCCGGCGTGGGGCGATGCCCGTCCCCTCAACCCCCCACCCACCCCGGGTGCCCGCTCACCTCGTCCGGGGGGTTCTTCACCTTCTGGATGTACCGGCGCACCACGTCCTCGGGGGTCTTGCCTGCCGCGGGCACGGGGGGGAAGGGAGGGCGTCAGAGCCTGCCCGCGGTGCCCAGAACCCCCATCACCGGGACGGGGACAGCCCTGTCACCGAGGGTGGGGACAGCCCTGCCACCCAGGATCGGGACAGCCCTGCCACACCCTGCCACCACTGTGGGGACAGACCAGCCACCTACTGTGGGGACAGCCCTGCCACCCAGGATCAGGACAGCCCTGCCATCCCCTGCCACCACGATGGGGACATCTCTGACACTCCCACTCAGGATGGGGACAGCCCTGCCATCCTCTGCCACCACGATGGGGACAGCCCTGCCACCTACTGTGGGGACAGCCCTGCCATCCCCTGCCACTACGATGGGGACAACCTTTCCACCCACGATGGGGACAGTCCTGCCACCCTCTGCCACCGGCATGGGGACAGTCCTGCCACCCCCTGCCACCAAGATGGGGACAAACCTTCCACCCCCTGCCACCCAGGATGGGGACAGCTCTGACACTCCCAACCAGGATGGGGACAACCCTGCCACCCAGGATGGGGACAGCCCCCCCGTGCCTCAGTTTTCCCCCCACAGGGACTGGCATGTCCTGGTGTCCCTGATCCCGCAGGGACACGGGTGGCTCTGATCCCAGGGACACGAGTGGCTTTTATCCCACAGGGACACAGGTGGCTCTGATCCCCAAGGACACGGGTGGCTCCTCACTCTTCTTGAGCTGCTTCTTCTTGGTTTTCCTGCAGATGCCGTTGACTCCGGGCACAGGTTTGATGTCGCTCTTGCTGACGGGTGGCGGGTGCAGGATGGGTTTGGGGGCGCGGGTCAGGCACACGGGCAGCCCGGCGGCGCACATGAGGATCCCCGTCATCCCTGCGCCGAGGAAAAGGGCTGTCTGTCCGTCCGTCCGTCCTTCCCGCCGCCTGGCAGCGGCCCGACCCCGTGCCCTGCCCGCGATGTCACCCGGCGGTGACACGCAGCCCGCGGCCGGACCGCCCTTACCTGCGAGGGCGGGATGGACGGGGCCGGTGCCGTTCAGGTTCTTGACCGGGAGGGCCGGGACCCTGCACGGAGAGGGGAGGGGAAGGGGCTCAGCCCAGCTGTCAGGGTTGGCACTGTGCCCTACTCGCATGGCGTGTCCCCAGGGCAGCGTCCTCCCCACGGGACACAGGGCAGGGTGTCCCCTCACCAGCCCTGGGGGGGCTGCTGTCCATTCCCACGGGGCTGGCACTGCCCCCAGGGTAGTGCCCTCCCCATGGGACACAGGGCAGGGTGTCCCCTTGCCAGCTTGGGGGGCTGCTGTCCAATCCTACGGGACTGGCACTGCCCCCAGGGTAGTGCCCTCCCCGTGGGACACAGGGCACGTCCCCTAACCAACTTGAGGGGCTGCTGTCCTATCCCATAGGGCTGGCACTGTCCCCAGCTCCCCATGGGACACAGGGCAAGGTGTCCCCTTGCCAGCTTGGGGGACTCCTGTCCCATCCCACGGGGGTGGCACTGTCCCAGGACACTGTCCCATGGGACACAGTGTCCTGTCCTGCGGGGTTGTCACCCAGTGCCACCCGTCCATCCCTGGGCACCCGATGGCACTGGGGACATCACGTCAGCCTTGACTCAGGGTGGAGCTTCATCGGGGTGTCCCGATGGTGACATCCAGTGTCCCACATCACCACGGGAATGGGGTGTCCATGGGGGGTGGGATGGAGGGAAGGGAAGGAAGGGAAGGAAAGGAGGAAGGCAGGGAGGGAGGGAGGAAGGGAGGAAGGAAGGGAGGGAAGGAAGGGAGGGAAGGAGGAAAGGAGAGAGGGAAGGAGGGAAGGAAGGGAGGGAAGGAGGAAAGGAGAGAGGGAAGGAGGGAAGGAAGGAAGGAAGGAAATGAAGGAAGGACTGGGGCAGGCACTGGGATGAAGGACAAGGAGCAAAGCCCAGCAGAGCCCTGTGCCCAAGTGCTCCTGCCCTGGGGGATGGGAACAGCCCCCACCAGTGGCATCATCCCCCTCCCTACCCCCACAGCCCCCACGCAGTGGCATCATCTTCATCCTCCTCCCTAACCCCCACAAGCCGTGCTCCTCCCCCTCACCTAACGTAACCCCCACAGCCCCCTGCCCCAGCCATGGCAGTGATGAGTTCGGCAGTGCTCAGCCTCACAGGAACCGCGGCTGGGGGCGTTTTCCCTCACATTCCCAAAGCTCCTTCACTCCCCCCAAGGCCTTCAGCCCCCACCAGGGCATTCCTGGTCCCCTCTTACCTGTCCATGGGGGCACATGGGATGGGACCTGTGTACCAGGACAGGGACAGGGACAGGGACAGGGACAGGGACAGGGACAGGGACAGGGACAGGGACAGGGATGGCTCAGCCCAGCACGTGGCACGTGGGGGCCAAAGCAGGACATAGAGGGGAATGAAACGTGCAGGGGCTGCTCAGTGACCCCACCTGACCCCCAGTCCCCACCTCCCAGCCCGGTGCCAAGGGCCCTGAGGGGACACCAGGACAACCCCCCGAGGGGTACAGCCGTGGGGACGTGGGTGTCAGGACAGGGACCCCCCCGGACACTCACCCACCCCCCTGCCCTCCGTGAGTCATTCCCATATGCCCATTCCATTCCCACCTGGGCACGGGGCTGCGCCCTCCGCGCTCCGGCTGCGCTCCCGGCCCAGGGACCTGCCTATGGCATCGTGCCACCAGCTGTGTCACACACTCCCTCTGCCCATTGGCGACACAATTCCCCCGGGGAGCAGGCACCCCACGTCCTCCGGCTGCCATGGAGAGCGTGGCACGGCATGGCACAGCATGGCATGGCATGGCACGGCATGGCACGGCATGGCACGGATCACCACACCCCCTCCGCAGCGATCCCGGGGCCAGCCGGGGCGAGCCAGGCGTCCCTCCCGGCAGCACGTCCCCAGGGTGAGCACCCCGGGGCTGGAGGTGACAACGGTGCCACACGGGCTGGGGCCGCTCGTGCCAGCGGGGGACGAGGCACCTCCATCACCCCCGCACCCCCCTCCCGGGTGCCACCCCCGCCCCGCTTACCCCGGGGGCACGGCGGCCCTGGCGCCCAGTCCGGCCCCGCGCTGCGTCCCGGGCCGGTTGAGGTTGTTGAGCCCGGTCAGCGCCGCACCGGGCACGCTCTGCCCGGGGGCGAACCCCGCGCCGGGCACCCGCAGCCCCTCGGCCTTGGCCGTGCCCCCCGCCCCCGCCGCCGGCCCCGGCGGCCACAGGGCCCCCCCGGCGAAGGTGCTGCTCTGCCGGACGGCGCCGGGGTAGAGTTTGCGGCGCTGCGATGCCAGGATGGCGTTGGAGGCGGCGCGGGTGCTGTTGACCAGCAGGCACTGCGGGCACGAACAGGGGGTCCCCGTGCTGGCGCCCACCGGCCACGACTGGGATTTGGGGATGGAGCCCATGGTGAGGGGGTAGGCCAGGTCCATGCGGCGCCGGAGCCGCCGCTTGCGCTGCGTCTGCCGGTTCATTTGGGACATGCTGCTGAAGTAGATGAGGTAGCAGAAGCCCAGGGAGGAGAGGTCCAGCCAGGGGTGCTGCTTCTCGTAGGCGTTCTGGATGGTGATGCAGATGTCCATGTCGTAGGGAGTCCAGGAGTTGTTGTCGTTCTCCCATTCCCACACGATTCCCTTGCCCGGGGCTGAGGAGGGGTCGTAGAAGTTCCTCCGCACGGGCCGCATGGTCCCTGGGGAGACAGCGGGGGTGGCACGGCGGGGTCCGGCGCCCCGAGGTGCCAGCAGAGGGACCCACACTCACACGGACACGCCTGTGCCCAGCTCCCAGCCCGGCATTCCGCAGGGATTGGGATGCAGAGGCACTTCGGGGTGAAGCAGCCACTCCCCCCTCCATAAAGGGGTGCGGGGGGGGGAGGACCAACACACCCCACCAGGCTGTGCTTCCCTAGGGATGTATCCGACCCGCAGCCCACCGTCGGTGGTGGTGATTTGGCCACCGGCTGCTCTGCCAGCCCTCGGGTGCCCTGGGAAGGGCGATGCTGCCCAGCTCCAGCGCTCCTTCCCATCCTTTTTCCATCCCTCCGGTCCAGAGCCACCTCCAGCCTCCCCGGCCGGGGTCCCGCGGCCATCCCGGGGCACGGGAAGCATTTCCCGGTCAGGAGAGGTTTCCTGACAGCTGCCGGCAGTCACACGGCCAGGCATTGTCCCCAAATCCCGGCCCCCGCCGCCGCTTTGGGACCGGCCTGGATGTCCCGGCCCCCTCCGAAGCTCTGCGGGGGGAGGAGGCAGCGCAGCCCCCTCCTCAAGTGCCCCCCTGGCACGGGGCCTCTCCATCCCCTCGGCGGCACCGTTTGCCCAGCTCGATTAAAGGCACTAATTAACGGTCATTAATCATCGGCCGCATCAGGCGGCAGAGCCAGGCCCAGCTGCCGCCTTGTGCTGAGGCAGCTCCGCCGGGGCCGCGGGAGGGAGGCGGGGGGGCTGCCCGGGCCTGCTGCCTGCTCCTGCCTGCGCCCCAAACCCCGCTGCCTGCTCCTGCCTGCGCCCCAAACCCCGCTGCCTGCTCCTGCCTGTATCCCAACTCCCACTGCCTGCTTATGTCCACATCCCAAACCCCACTGCCTGTCTGCTCCTGCCTGCATCCCAAACCCCACTTCCTTCTGCCTGCACCCCAAACCCCACTGCCTGCTCATGTCCACATCCCAAATCCCACTGCCTGCTCCTACCTGCACCCCAAACCACACCGCCTGCTCCTGTCCACATCCCACTGCCCACTCCCATCCAATCCCCCTGTCCACTCATCCAATCCCACTGCCTCTCCATCCACACTGTGCTCACATCCATGTCCTGTATCCCACCTGAGTTCCCATCCCTGCCAGCTTCCTTCCCCCATCCATGGCCCTCATCCTGCTGCTCACTCACATACACATCCTATATCCATTGGTCCCTGCAACTGTATCCCACATCCCCCTGTCTGCTCACATCCCATCCCAAATCCCACATCCCCCTGTCTGCTCACATCCCATCCCAAATCCCACATCCCCCTGTCTGCTCACAGCCCCATCCCAAATCCCACATCCCCCTGTCCCTAACATCCCCATCCCACATCCTTCTACCTCTCACATCCCTATCCCAAATCCAATCCCCTCTGTCCCTCACATCCCCATCCCACATGCCTCTATCCCTCTATCCCTCACATCCCCATCCCAAATCCCACACCCCCCAGCCCCTCACATCCCCAAATCCCACACTCCCCTGTCCCTCACATCCCGAATCCCACACCCTCTGGCCCCTCAAATCTCCATCCCAAATCCCATACTCATGTCCCTCACATCCCAAATCCCACATCCCCCTGTCTGCTCATATCTCCATCCCAAATCCCGCATCCTCCTGCTCACTCACATCCCCATCCCACATCCCCCTGTCCCTCACATCCTGAATCCCACATCCCCCTGTCCCTCACATCCTGAATCCCACATCCCCCTGTCCCTCACATCCTGAATCCCACGTCCCCCTGTCCCCACATCCCCATCCCACAGGGGTTGGGGGAAGATTCCCCATCCCAAGCCCGTGGGCACACTCAGCTCCGTGTCCCCAAGGGCCACCAGCTGTCCCCAGCCCCCCCAGCCCCTGCCCACCCCCCCAGCCTTGCAGGAGCCACAGGACCGAGCCGGTGTCCCCAGGGCCACCGGGAGGGGACACGTGTCCCTGCTCTCGGAACGGGGTCACCTCCTTTCATTCCATCACCGGGTTTCTCCCTCCCTGGGGGGTTTGGGATGGGCCAAGGAGCCCCCTGCCCCCTGCCCACCTTCCCCGTGTCCCCATGTCACAGCAGGCACCCTCAGACCAGGGGACCCTTGTGTCCCCAAGCACCACAAGGCACGTGACAGCCTCTAACCCCCGGGCCTCACCCACGGGAAGAGATGATGGATAGAGATGGATATGGGGATGGGGCACATGGAGACCACGATGCTGAGGGCAACGGCCCTGTCCCCTCCCGTGCCAGCCCTGGGCACAGCAGAGCCCCTCTCCCAGCACCCCTGTCCCCAAGCCCTGCTGGCACAGGGACTGCGGTACCGGGGACATCCTGGGAACGCTCCCAGCAGACACGTCCCCCCAAACCCTGCTGTGGCCCCACCTCAGGCACACATTCCCAGGGATCTCCCAGCACCGCAGCCATGGGATGCTGTCAGAGGATGGGCCCTGGCCAAAGCTGGCAGGAGGTGGCATGGGGACAGCCAGGGTGTCCCGGTGGCTCCTGCAGCTCTGCGTCAGTGCAGGCACCGGCACGACCCGCGGGGTCTCTGCTGACTCAGGGCTGCCGGTGCCAAGCTGCCCTTTGCCAAGTCCGTGACCGGCTGGAGACCGACTCCGAGCCAGGCTGGATGGCAGAGGCAGGGGGCAGGTCCCTGGCTTTGTCCTCCTCGCTGTCCCCAGCCCCCAGCAGGAGCCACGTCCTTATTTGGGGTCATTTGGCATCACTGGTGACGGTGACAGTGGCACTGGTGGCCGGGCTGAGGTGGCACAGCCAGGGGGGTCCCGCTCTGGGGCATCCCAAGGCCAGTCTAGTGGGAGCTGGGGGTGTCACCCCATGTATGGCAGGTCCCTGCCTGCTCTGCCTGGCCTGCAGCCGGATCCTGCCCTTGGCAGGGGTGCAGGGATGGGCAGGGAAGCACCCAGAATGGCACATCCCCCGTGGCACAGCCGGCACACGCCGGTTTAATGGGTCACACCGTGACGGGGACACATTTAACGGGGTCTGGGCTTGGTCCCAGTGTGGGACCAGCTCTGATTTCCCACAGGATCCGTGGCCTGGATGTGCTGCTGCAGCACCAACCAGCACAGCCGTGCATCTGCAACCAGCCCAGTGCCCACCACAGCTCCCAAACTGGGGCCTGCCCAGTCCCGGGGGGATCCCACACGGAGCAGCTTTGAGGGGAAGATGAGTGGACAGTGGGATAATGGGACACACCACCCAGCACAACAGCCCCAGTGGGGAGAGGGGATGGAGGGATGTGGGGACAGATCCCTCCAGGGTGTAGGTCCAGGATGGAGAGGCAAAGGAAAGAGCAGGAAGAGTCTGGAGAGGTCCATGGGGGGACCAGAGCCCAGCAGGGAGAGGGGAAGAGAGAGGGAACGGGAGGGACAGATGGATGGACAGATGGAGGGAGGAATGGAGGGATGGAGGGAGGGGGGATGGAGGGATGGATGGATGTGGGAATGAAGCAACAGACCAGTAAGCAGAGATACACAGGGAGGGAAGGAAGGATGAGGCTGGATGGCTGGACGGGTGGATGGATGGATGGAATGACAGACAAACTGTGACAGATTCACGGAGGAATGGACAGCTGGACAGACAGATGAAAGGAACAACAGACATACACACGGAGAGATGAAAGGATGGAGGGATGTAAGGAAGGATGTAAGGATGGAGGGATGAATGGATGAATGGATGAATGGATGGAAGCATGGAGGAATGGAATGATGTAAGGAGGGAGGCAGAGGTGTACAAGTGGATGGAAGGACGAAGAGATGGAAGGAGGGAGGGAGAGAGGGAATGATGGATGGATGGAAGGATGGAGGGATGGAAGGATGGAGGGACAGAAGGATGGAAGGATGGAGGGATGGAAGGATGGCCGTGTGACTCGGTGGCTGGATGTCCCTGGCTCGGTGCCAGCCCCTTACCCGTGTCCTGCCGGAACTGGTGCATGGACTGGAGGTCGATGACGTAGGGGGCCAGCTGGACATCGACCTGGCCCAGCACCACGGACCCGCGGGCGTCCTCCTTCAGCACGTTCTCGATGTGGTGGCACACGGCGGCCGAGTAGGGCCGCCAGCGCCCGTGCTCGTTCAGCCACTCCCACACCACCACGCGGGCCAGGTTCTGCGGGGGGAAGCCCAGGCCCCCCGAGGGCAGCATGGCCCCCGAGCCCTGCCGGGCCATGCCGGGGGTGCGGCGGCTCGGCCCCACTGCCCGGCCCGGCGCGGGGGCCGGGGGGTCACCCGGAGCCCCCCCAAGCCCCGCCGCGGGGCTCAGCGGAGGCGGGCGCTGCCAGCCAGGTCCCCGAGGTCCCCGAGCCGCCCGGGGCCGCTCCCCCGGGGCCGCCGCGCGGGGCAGGGACCATCCATCACCCGGCGCGTCTTCCTCGGCTCTTCCTCCTCCCCGCGGCGCTGGCGGGGGCTCAGGCTCCCAAAAGCCTCACCGGGACCTCACGGACCGCGTCGGCTCGAGGATGGCGGCGGCTGCGGGCGGCGGTGGGGACACGCGGCCACGGTGCTGTCCCCGAGACGAGACACCCACTCCTCCTCTTCCTCCTCGTGTCCTGCCGCTCGGCCCACGTCCTCGGCGGCTCCACGGCTGCTCCCGCCGCCCGGTGAAGGAGGGGGGTGTCACCTGCAAAACAGGGCCACGGGCGGGTCACCCCGGGTACCGCCAGGCGGGTGGCAGCTGGGGAACCGTCCCCGTCGCCCCCGGAGCCGGCGGGCAGCGAGGCCGCGGTGCCCGCAGCCCTGGCAGCACGGGCTGCTTGCCAGCCCCGGCCGGCTGCTGGCCTCCAGCACCACAGCGGGGACGAGGGGGACGGGGGGGGACAGGCCACCCCGCTGGCGGCCCTGGGGGGCTGCCGGGGGTCTCACGAGCCCGGGAAGCCCCGTCGCTCCCTGCCCCGGGTGCCGGGGAGCCCGCGGGGCCCGGCTCCCGCTCCAGCCGCCGCTGATTTATGATCTGCACTGCAGGCATCGGGCTGGGGGTGATCCCGGCCCCCCGCTCCCCCCCAGGCCCGCGCCCACCCACGGCAGCCCCCAGCCCCGCGGGGGCGGGAGGGGGGGCCAGGGAAGGGGAGCATCGCTGCACAAACAGCCGTCAGACAGACGGACGGACACGGCCGAGCACACACAGACACACTGACACGGAGAGACACGGGCACACGCGCTGGCACACGCACAGCCGGGGACACGGACAGACAGCGGGACGAGGCGGGCGGACGGACAGACACGGGGACCCGCGGCAGCACAACAGCCCCCCCGTGGGCACACACGCACACGGCCACACGCTCCGACACGGGTGTGCTCACACGCACCCTCACACGCGTGTGTTCCTCACCCAGCGCCCGCCGTGACCCCGAGCACCGGGGAGCTGGGAGGACCCTCAACCAACCCCGGGCCCCCCCCGCGGCCGGGCTGTGGGCCCGAGCCCCCAGGCCAGTAGCCCCCCCCCAGCCGGGGCCCGGCTGCTTTTCGGGAAGGGGGGGTGAAACGCCAGGCCTGTCCCCCGCGCACGGTGTGTCCCCCCCCGCCGCACGGCAGCCCCCGGTGCGCGGTCCCCCCCTCCCGGTGCACGGTCCCTCACGATGCCCGGCAGCCCCCAGACCCCCGGCGCTCCGTCCCCCCGCGGAGCGCGGTATCCCCGAGGCACGACAGACCCCCCTCCCCCGGTGCCTGTTGTGTCTCCCCCCTCCCGGCGCGCGGTCCCCGCCGATTCACGGCATCCCCCGTCGCTCCGGTGCGCGGTACCCCCGAGGCACGGCAGCCCCCCGGTGCCCCGTCCCCCCCCTCGCCCCCTGCCCGGTTCGCCGCGATCCACAGCATCCCCCAGCCCGCCGTGCCCGGTCCCGCCGCCCCCCGAGGAGCCCCCCCCGCCCCGCCATGGCCGCCGCCGCCCCGCACCGCGGCCCCGCGCCCGTTACCTCCGGCGGCCGCGGCCGCACCGGGGTCCGCGGCCACACCGGGAGCGGCGGCGGCGGCGGCGGCGGGCGCGGGGCCGGGCGGTGGCAGCGCTCCGGCAGCGCCAGGCACACACCGACACCGGCACCGGCGGCGCGCACGGCCGCGGGCACCCGCCGCACCGGCAGCGCGCGCGCCGGGAACGCGCGAACGGGGAGCGGGGACACGCGCGGGGGGAACCGGGGCGTCTGCACCGGGATGGGGGGACACGCACTGCGGGGGGGGGACGGGGAATCTGCACCGGGACCGGGGATACGCACCGGGAACAGGGATGGGGGACACGCATGGGGGGACTGGGAATCTGCACCGGGATGGGGGACTCGCAGCAGGGACCGGGCATCTGCACCGAGGAGCCGCGCCAGGACCGGGGACAGGCGCCGGGGTCACCCGCCGGGACCGGGCGTTTGATCCGGGGACACGCGGGGGACCGGGTGTCCACACTGGGGACACACACAGGGACTGGGGATCTGCAATGGGAACCTGTCCCCGGACTGGGCACCCACACCGGGGCCAGGCACCCACACCGGGAACACACAAGGGGCGCTGGGGACACACCAGGACCAGGAATCCACACCGGGGACACCCACAGGGATCAGGGACACACACCAGGAGTGGGCATCCAAAAAGGGGACATCCGTGAAGGACTGGGGACCCACACATAGGGCACTGAACACAGGCTCCAGAGACCTGTATGGGGGCTGGGCACCCACACCAGGGCTGGGCACCCGCACTGGGGACACGCTGGTCACTGGGCACCCACAACAAGGTCCAGGCACCCACAGTGGGGACATTCACAAGGGGACCTGGCACCTGCACTGGGGACATATAGGGGACCAGTCACAGGCTCCAGAGACCTGTACCAGGACTGGGCACCCACACCAGGGCCGGGCACCCACAGTGGGGACACTCACAAGGGCCAGGTGCCACAGTGGGGACATGCACTGGGCCCAGGTATTGACACTGGGGCCACTCATGGGGGACCAGGGACACACTGGGGTCATGTAGAGGATGGGCACCTGCACCTGCACCAGGGTCAGGCACCCACACGGGGACACGGTGTCCACACAGGGGACACCCACGAGGACCGGGGACAGCCACCGTGACAGGGCACCGGTAAAGGGGACCAGGGAGGGACATGCTCCGGGGACATGTAGGGGGACTGGGCATCTGCAATGGAGCTGGGCACCCACACTGGGGACACGCACCACGAGGGGCTGCCCCCGGGGGGACCAGCCTGGCTGGGGGGACACCTTGTCCCCTCTTAGGGAGCGTGGATGCCGCAGCCCTGTGGGGACACTGAGGCACAGGAGGTGGCAGGAGCCCTGAGCCCCAGGGACACCCCAATGGCTGTCCCCCTCAGCCCACGGGCTCAGGGCTCTGCCTGCCAAGGGACAGGTTTGGGGACAGATCGGGGGAGAGGGTATTTGTCACTCTGGCTGTGCCCATGGCCCTGTGAAGGGACAGATCTGGGGACAGATTTGGGGACAGAGGGGTTGTCACTCAGGCTGTGCCCATGGAGAAACAGGTTTGGGGACAGGTCTGGTGACAGAGGGGTTCTAACTTGGGTAAGAAAATGGAGGGACAGGTTTGGGGACAAATCTGGGGACAGAGGAGTCACCAGTGTGGCCATACCTGCAAAGGGACAGATTTGGGGACACGTTTGGGAACATAGGGGTTGTTCCTCTGGTGTGCCCATGGAGGGACAGATCTGGGGACAGGGTTAGGGTTGGGTCGGGGGTCCGGGCAGCCACGGCCGCGGTGGCCTCGCAGTGCCACCTGGTGGCCTCGGCCACGCGGCCTGGCGGCCCGAGGTGCCACCGCGGGGGTCCCGGCAGAGCGGGGCGGGTATGGGGACACTCCCCCTCACCACCCCTGTCCCCACGGCGGGGAACGCGCTCCCCGGCAGCCCGCGGGGGCAGGAGCCACCCCCTGCCCATCCGTGCAATGAGCTGTGCTCGGGTCTCATGAGGGGCTGGGGGCTGGCACCACACGGCTCGGGCACAGAGCAGGGACATGGCATGGGGCCATGGAGATGGGACGGGGACAGGCATGGGGATGCAGAAACAGGGTAGAGACAAGGATGGGGACGTGGGGACATGACGCAGGGACGTGGGATGGGACATGGAGGGGAAAGAAGGACATGGCATGAGGACGTGGTGCCAGGACAGGGACATGGCATGGGGTTCTGGAGCTGGGACAGGGACACGGGGATGTGGAGCTGGGACAGGGACAGGGCATGAAGACATGAAGCTGGAAAGGGGACATGGCATGGGGACATGGAATGGGACATGGAGCTGGAATGGGGACGTGGCATGGGGACATGGAATGGGACATGGAGCTGGAATGGGGACGTGGCATGGGGACATGGAATGGGACACGGAGGTGAAAGAGGGACATGGCATGGGGACATGTTGCCAGGGTGGGGACAGGGACATGGGGATATGGAGCTTGGACAGGGACAGGGCATGAAGACATGAAGCTGGAATGGGGACATGGCACGGGGACGCAGAGTCAGGGCACAGCTCTGAAGCTGGGACATGGCACAGGGACGTGGAGCCAAGGCAGGGACATGGCACAGGGACGTGGAGCCAAGGTAGGGACATGGCATGGGGACCTGGAGCTGGGATGGGGAGACAAGGAGCCAGGGCAGGGACCTGGAGCTGGGCCATGGCATAAGGACCCAGAGCTGGGATGGGGACACAGCATGGGGACAGAGCTGGGGTGTGGCACGGGGACATGAATCCAGGGTAGGGACATGGCTCGGGGACCTGGAACCAGAGCAGGGACACAGAGCTGGGACGTGGTGAGGGGACATGATGCTGTGAGGGGGACATGGAGGGGGGACAGGGCCATGGCCCAGGGACCTGGAGCCACACTGAACCTCCCCAGGAACCCCAGAGGGCAGAAGACACCAGGCAGGGAGTGGGCACAGGGGGGGCACCCCAGGGCTGGGTGGGGGTCACTCAGGGGCACCGTGGGGACAAGGTCCTGTGCTGGGGGGTGCCCACCCAGGCCTGGGGAGGGGACACACGTCTGTCACCCAGTGCAACTGCCCCAGCCCCCCCTCCAGGGCCCCCGCCAGCCCCAGCAGCCGTGTTTAGTCTGAGGAGGAGCGCGGGTGACCTTCGGCTCCTCCGGCACCCACGGGGGGAACAGCACGTGGGACCCACCACAAGGACACACGGGGGGCTGGGAGGGGGGGGGACCCCCGTGCTCTGAGCACTGAGGGGGTGTTTGCTTTGGGGGGGCAGCTCCCACTCGCCCTGCCCAGAGGGAGGGGGCACCCGTGGGGGGTCCCTGGGGGGAGCACTCCCCTCTTTCTGTGTCCCCACGGTGGGTGGGGTCTGGGTGCTGGGACGGGGTGGGGGGGTGCTGGGGTGATCAGGGCGGCAGACCCCTACACACGGCGGGGGGGGGGTCCCGGGGTGCTGTGCCCAGACAGACAGACAGACAGATAGACAGACAGACAGACAGGCTGCCTGTAGGGTCCCTCACCCACCCCACTGGCGGGGACCACCCACACACACCCATGGCACACACTCACCCCACACAGACACACAGACACACAGACACACAGACACACAGACACACAGACACACACACACACACACACAGACACACAGACACACAGACTCACACACACAGACACACAGACTCACACACACACATACAGATGGCTCCTCACACGCCCCGACACGGGGACCACACACAGGGACACACATGGCAGAGGCAACTGGGAGAGCAGCCAGGAACAGACAGACAGACACACAGAGAGACAGACAGACACACACAGAGACACACAGACAGACACACAGAGACACACACAGACACAGACACACAGACAGACAGGAGGATGAACACGCGCCCGGGCCGTGCACACACGTGCAGGCACAGGCAGGCACAGACACACACACAGACCTCGGGCCATCCCACACAGGTGGGCATGGGGCACACGGAGGGGTGTGAGGGCACATGGGTGGGCACACACATGTGCACACACACCTGTGCAGACACGCACATGTATGTACACACACACGTGGATTCAGTGTGCACACATGTGAATCCATGTGCACACACAGATTCTGTGTGCACACGTGTGTGTGAATCCATGGACACACATGTGGATTCTGCGTGCACACACATGTGCAAATCCATGGGCACACATGGATTCTGTGTGCACACGTGTGTGAATCCATGTGCACACACACGTGTGAATCCAGACACACACACATATGGATTCCATGTGCACACATGTGTGTAAATCCATGGACACACACGTGGATTCCATGTGCACGTGTGTGTGTGAATCCACGGACACGTGGATTCTGTGTGCACACATGTGTGTGGATCTATGGACACACATGGATTCTGTGTGCACCGTGGGTGTGAATCTATGTGCACACACTTGTACACACACACACTTGTGCACACGCACACAGAGGATCACACACACACGTGTCCTGTGCACACACACACAGGGTCACACACACGTGTGTCCCCATGCGGGGGGGCTCACGCCGCTCCCCAGTCTCTCCCACGGGCAGCCGGAACCGTCCCCACATCGTGTCCCCTCCCCGCGCTGATCCTCTCCCAGCCCCCGAGCTCCCCCGACCCCCCGATCCTGTCCCTCCGACCCCCGACCTCCCCCCGACCGCCCGATCCTGCCCCCCAGGCCCCCAACCTCCTCTCTGCCCCCGATCCCGCCTCCCGGCCACCGATCCTGCCCCCGATCCCCCGACCCTGCCCCACGACCCCCGACCTCCCCTCTGCCCCCGATCCTGCCACCCGGGCCAGTGCGTCCCCCCAGCCCCCCAAATTTCCCCCCGCCCCCGGTGTCCGTCCCGCCAGCGGGACCCCCGTGCCGGCGGGGCGGAAGGAGGGGGAGCAGGCGGGGGGTCCCTCCTCCATCCCTCCTCCTCCTCCTCCTCCTCCCTCCCTCCTCCTTCCTCCTCCCCTCCCCCGCCGCCCGCTCGGTGCCGGTGCCGGTGCCCGCCGAGCCCCGCGGAGCGGCATGGCCGGGGGCCGGGGGTCCTGCCCGCCCCTGCCCGCACCGCTGCCCGCACCGCTGGGGCTCTGCCTGTGCCTCTGCCTGCTGCTGCCGCTGCCCGCGGCCGCCTGGAGCCCGGCCCTGCTGCCGCCCGCCGCCCGCAGGTACCGGCACCGGGGGCACCGGGGTGCGGGCACCGGGCACGGGGGGCACCGCGTTCGGGGGGCGTCGGGCACCGGGGGCTCTGGGTGCCGGGATGGGTCGGGCACCGGGGGCTCTGGGTGCCGGGGGTACCGAGTACCAGGGGCTCCAAGTCCTGGGCACGGGGGGCATCAGGCACTGGGGAGCTCGGGGGGGCACCAGGGAGATCTGGGCATCAAGGGCATCAGGCACTGGGGGGCTCCGGTGGTCTGTGGGTACCAGGAGTCCGGGTATCAGGTATGGGGGCATCGGGTACCAGGGGCATCAGGCAGCAGGGTCTGTGGGTACCGGGGGGCTCTGTGTACCAGGCGTGGGGGGCATCGTGGACCGGGGGGTATTGGCTGCTGGGGGCTCCAGGGGGGCTCTGTGGGCCGTGCTGGGGCTACTGGGACTGGGAAGGCTGGGGGTACTGGGGGCTGCTGGGGGAGCTAGCTGGACTTACTGGGGGTACTGGGGGTTACTGGGTCCAGCAGGACTTACTGGGGCTTCCTGGGGGGGTTACTGGGGCTGGTGGGATGTGCTGGGGCTGAGAGTTACTGTGCTGGGGCTGGGGGTTGCTGTGCCTGGCAAGACTTACTGGGGCTTACTGGGGCTTACTGGGGCTAACAGCACGTCTGGGGTTATCAGAGCTACCAGGGTTAGCAAGGTGCTGGGGCTACTGGGATTGCCTGGGCTTACTGGGGCTACTGGGGCTGCTGGGGGTACTGGGACTAATAGGGCTGCTGGGACTGCTGGGCATACTGGGACTGCTGGGGCTGCCTGGGCATACTGGGACTGCTGGGCATACTGGGACTCCTGGGCACACTGGGGCTACCGGGTCTGCTGGGGCTACTGGGGCTGCCTGGGCATACTGGGACTGCTGGGGCTGCCTGGGCATACTGGGACTGCTGGGGCTGCCTGGGTATACTGGGACTGCTGGGGCTGCCTGGGCATACTGGAGATACTGGGGCTGCTGGGCATACTGGGCACACTGGGGCTACTGGGGACTGCCTGGGCATACTGGGACTACTGAGGCTGCTGAGGCTACTGGGACTACTGGGCGTAATGGGACTGCTGGGCACACTGGGGCTACTGGACATACTGGGGCTGCTGGGGCTGGTGGGGGGTGAACGTCCCCTGCCCTGGGGTCCTGCCTGTCCCTGGGGGGCCGTGGGGGGGGCGGGGGGCTGTGGGGTGGATGTGGTGACTATAGGGGTCTGTGTCGGGCTGTGGGGGCTGTGGGAGGATGTGGGGGGCTGTGGGGGCTGTGGGGTGCTGTGTGGGGCTGTGGGGTCTGGTGTGGCTGTGTGGGGCTGTGGGGTGGTCTGTGTGTCTGTGGGAGGATGGGGGGCTGTGGGGGCTATGGGGTGGGGTGTGGGGCTGTGTGTGGGCTGTGGGGGTGTGGGGGTTTGTGAGGATTGTGGGGTGCTGTGGGGGGTTGTGGGGGGGACTGTGAGGGGCTGTGGGGGTTTGTGAGGATTGTGGGGGGCTGTGGGGGGCTGTGGGGGGCTGTGAGGGCTGTGGGGGGACTGTGGGGGGCTGTGGTGCCCGTCCCAGCGGTCGGGGGGGCGGCGGGGGGGTTGTTTACAGGAAGCCTTTGGCTCTGGCCGTGTCTCCGGCACCGGATTGCCGGGACCTCCCGGTTCCGCTCGGCTCGGGGAGGGCGACGGGCAGCAGCCGCCTCATTTCCCCTTCCCCTCCCGGCCAAGCCCAGGAAGCCCCCGGCGCCTTGGCATCACCCTGCCCTGTCCCCCCGGGACCCCCCCAGCCCACCACGCCCCACCCTGCTGTTGGCACCGAGGGCTCACGAACCCCCAGCCCGTCCCGCCCCGTCCCAGCCCATCCCACCCCGGCGCATCGCTGCCATCCCAAGCCGGGGGCACAAAGCCAAGCAGCTGATTTGGGGAATGGGAGCGGGGCTGGGAGCCAAGCCTGGCGTGGGCTTTGCCCCGGGTGGGCACATGCCCCGCGGCAGAGCCCGGACACGCTCAGTGCATGAGTGGCGGCCCGGTGGGTGGGCCGGGGTCACGCCAGGCCACGCCGGCGCTCACATGCCGGCGCCTGCCAGCTCCTGCCCCGCTCCCGGGAGGGCATTCCCGCTGGGAAGCGAGCCGGGACCCATCCCCACCCCGGCGGGCATCGCCGCAGCTGGAGCTGGCACCGCGCATCCCGCCCTGCGCCGCCCGGGAGCGAGCTGGGTGCCCTCCAAAGGGGGACGATGCCACCCCGGACCCCCCCTGGCACGGGGGGGAGGGAGGCGACAGCGGGAGCGTGGCGACAGCTCCGGCGGGATCTGCGCTTCCATAGCCCTGGCGCGGTGCCCGCCTGGGCCGCTGCCCGGCCGGAAAGCCCAGTGCCACCGCGCTGTCCCCCCGCCCCGGCACCTCCCAGACAATTGTCCCCCCGCGGCGCCCGCTCGTCCCCGCTGCCACCGCCTCCCTCCTCGCGGCGCTGCGGCGGCCGGTCCCGAAAAGCTCCTTTTTTTTTGACCCAAATTGTGCAGCCTTTTGAGCTCGGAGCTGCCGAGGGAACGGCGAGTCCTTCCCGCCGCGCGGGGACGGGGTCACTCGGCGCGGTGGCACCGGTGTGTGTGTGTCCCCCCCTCTCTGCAGGGGGAAACTGAGGCTGGGGGTGCCCGCGGCGGGGGTGGGCAGAGCCTGGCATGTGGGGCAGAAGAAAGGAGCCTTTGTGTGGGGTGGGCTGGGGGCGCGGAGGGGGCCCGGGCCCCGCTCCAGGCCGGCCGGCGCCAGCGCGGGGTTGGGAATGCGGCAGGAATGTGGGGCCCCAGCTCCCCCCCCACGTGCCAGGGCAAAGCTCCCCACGGGCACCTCCCGGGGCAGTTTGGGTGGCAGGACCCTCACGGTGGCACTGCCACCCCCGCGGTGTCCCCCCTGGGGACGCGGGTGGTTTCCCTTTGCAGCAACTGGTGCTCCTACA